GAACATTACTGTATTTAAGTAAAAAAGTATTTTCTATATAACTTTAAAGGGTACATTGTTACATCCTTTGAATTTGGAAGAGAAGTTGAGTGACTAGCATATTAAAACTGATTTAACTCAAATGACCTATGATTTCAATTTTAGAGACACCACTTAGATACTGATACAATGGAAATAGCACTGGGAGTGAAGAAGTCAGGACATCTGTGTTCTGGCCTTGGCTCCGTCACTATGTTTGTGACTATAGACAGTGGCTCACAATCTTGAATATGTATCAGAATCCCCTGGAGGTCGTCCTGAAACAGATTGAACAGATTGCTGCCTGTCACCCCATTTCTGATTCAGGAAGAATGGGGTGGGGACTGAGAATTTTCATTTATACCAAGTTCCCAGGTGATGTTGCTGCTGCTGATTAGGGACCATATTTTGAGAACTACTGCCTTAGGTAAATAATTTAATCTCTTTATGTCCCAGTTTCCTTGTTTGTACAATATGATTGTGCTATAAAGTTTCTAGGTTCCCTTACAACTCCAACCTTCTATGATCTCGTATAATCTCAATTTTAAGTTTTTCCTATTCTGTGAGATACAACACAGACCTTTCAAAATGGTTTAATACATATCACTTTATGGAATTAATTTAGATGAGCAAAGATTATTCAAAGATCAGTACTACTTCTATTCCACGGCATCTCAGGGATTGATGACTAGATCATTAAAAGAGCAACCAATTTAGCAATATAATTCTATTAATACCATAATTAGTGATGGCTGAAATGCCTTTTGAACCCCACCCAACTAAATTCAAAGGCTGAGTTCTAATCCAGACTTTGTAACTAATTTTTCAATATAAAATCTAATTTTTATACTATTGCTTTATGCACAAGGTTATAGGAAAAAACAATAAAACAGAAATCGGGGGAGTCTTTTTTATTTTTGGAAGCCGTTAAACAATCCATATTTTATGGCTGTTTCCAGTGCCTCTTAGGTTTATGCTTTCTAATTAAAAACTCCTAATAACAGAGACTATAGGAAAATAATAAAGTGGTATTAATAAAAAAAAATCAGTCCTCACCATTTTCTATAAAGCACGGTAAATTGTGCAGCAGCATCAGGCGTCCATGCAAATGACTGGCATTCTCTTGAACAGGAAATTGGAGTGGCACCCTCAGTTCTAAACACTGACTTCCTACTTTGAATTTATACACAAATTCCCGCTCTCTGTGGCCGAATCTTTCTCTGTTTTTCTTCATACTCTTTGACAGGATTTCTACAAAACTAACAAAAAAAGCAACAGGTTATGAGTCCGTTAAAAAACAAGATGTTTTGTTATTGCTGTACCACTTCTAAGAAAATGTTCCACCACACAGAGATTTTATTTGTGTGACTCTGAGACAATTATTCTAGTTTTTTTCCAAGTGTTTATCCCTACACTTTCGTCTTCATGATGAAAAAAAGTTGCTTATTTTTTTTTAAATGAAAATACTATTTCTTTGAAACTTCATTTAAGAAAAAAAGTTATGCTCTTAAAGTACTTGTATTCCCTGGCAGGATTCTCAATAATACGACAGGAACACAGAAAAGACAGCAAAGAGGATTCTTAGGAAAAGAAGCATAGGTGGGCAGATGCAAAGCTTATGAAACAGTAAGTGAAAACAAAGTCAAAGAAACAGATCAGGAACAAAGCAGCGATCTTGGAGATCTTAGAGGTGTGATCATGAGATCTGTTTGGGGAGGGTGGTTACGAAAGTGGTACAAAGATTTCCATGGGGGAAGAAGATATACAGAAAATAAATAGTACAGAATGACCCACACAAGGCAAACTGGACACAATACAAAAAGAAGAAAATCTAGCTAAAGGGAATAAGAATCAACATAAATTAAAGATTTATTGATTCACCGGCCTCCTAACTGGACTACCTGTTGCTAGGCTTTCCCGCATCACATCAGTTCTCACATTATTCTCTCCACTGAAGTCACAGTAATCTTTCTCTAAAAAGCAATATGTTTATCTAATTATGTTGCTTATCTGCTTAAAACCTACGACATTCTATTGTTCTCAGTATAAAATGTAAACATCTTAAGCCAGTTGACAATGCCCCTGCTTGTATCTCCAGACTCTTGTCTCAGAAACTGCACTCGTCCTTCCCAACACACCATTTTCCAGCCATACTAAACGGTCAGTACCAAACCTCTCTTCCCACTCCCAACCTTTTTGAACACCTTTTCCTTTGCCTAGAGCACTCTTACTGGTTTTAATTTCCTTGGATAACAACTACTCGTTCTTCAGGTCTCAGTTTAGATAGCCCCAGGGAAACTTTTTTAACTCCCTAAAACTGGATTGCGTCCCCGATACTGATCTGAATCATAGCACCTATTATACTCTATTTGTTACTCTCTTTAGAAAAACAGTCTACTTGAAGTGGGAGGAAATCTGTCTTGTTGTATTCCATGTGCCAGGCAGGGAACATAAGGGCAACAGCTAATTAATACCTGTTGAATTGTATGGTGTTTTTATTTCATGGTGCTCACTGGAAAAAAAGGGAAGAGAACAAGCAATTACTCATATGGTTCTTTAAAAAGAGGTCACCTAAAATATAGAAATAACTCAGACAACGAAATTTTTGAGGGACGGGAAAGGCTGATAAGTTGAATTATCCAGATTATATTTTCAAATTTGCATGTAGGCTTTACACAAAAATTTTAGTCTATTTATTACACCATAATGCAAAGAGATAGGGTACTTATATTTTACTCACGGAATTAACTGAATAACACTTATTAAATGTAAAGCAACGGAAATTTGTACAACTCTAGAAAACCACCAATTCCATGTGGGAAAGGTCTAGTCTATGGTGCATAAATTCCGCTCCTAAGTATATATTCAAACACACACACACACATGCATACACATATGCGTATGTTTACTAAAATACACATAGAAGGATGGTCATAGAAGGCAGACACAACAGCTCTGGTTTCTAATATTTGGCTCAACATTTAGACTTGTGTTTCGACAAATTAATATTTTTGTTCCTTCTCCCCCTACTCGATTTTTTTTGTTTTCCTTTCTGGTTTTTTTGCTGATGATCTATTCGGAAGACTTGCCTCAGATTCGGCAACCGTGAAATCAAAGAAGGTTTCCGGTACAAAAAATGGGATGAGAGGAGGGCTGGAACGAACACACACAGCCCGCAGAGCGGAGGCTGAGGCTCACGTTAGGAAAAGGGAAGGCAGCCTCCCGGGCTGAGAAGCTCCAGCTGAGGGAGGGGACGAGCCCCTCCATTAGGGGTTTCAGTCTGAAGGGGCTTCCTCACTCTTGGTTCTGGGCTCATCTCACCTAGTTCCGGAGTCCTGAGCTGTCCGCACACTCGGAACTGTCAGCGAGTTGGCCACAGAGAACATCCGCTGACGGGCCGACTTGTTTTACAGCCAGCAGATTCGCCATTGCAGATTCGTCCACACGTTTTTCTGTTTTCTGGCACCCTGCAGAAAACTCCTCGGTCCTAGTGCCCCCTTTTTCCAGCCTGCTTCAGTTTAATCATTTGAACAGTGCAAGAAAGTGTATTTCTACTGTTCTTGAGTATTTATAGGAAAAAACAATAAAACAGAAATCGGGGGAGTCTTTTTTATTTTTGGAAGCCGTTAAACAATCCATATTTTATGGCTGTTTCCAGTGCCTCTTAGGTTTATGCTTTCTAATTAAAAACTCCTAATAACAGAGACTATAGGAAAATAATAAAGTGGTATTAATAAAAAAAATCAGTCCTCACCATTTTCTATAAAGCACGGTAAATTGTGCAGCAGCATCAGGCGTCCATGCAAATGACTGGCATTCTCTTGAACAGGAAATTGGAGTGGCACCCTCAGTTCTAAACACTGACTTCCTACTTTGAATTTATACACAAATTCCCGCTCTCTGTTGCCGAATCTTTCTCTGTTTTTCTTCATACTCTTTGACAGGATTTCTACAAAACTAACAAAAAAAGCAACAGGTTATGAGTCCGTTAAAAAACAAGATGTTTTGTTATTGCTGTACCACTTCTAAGAAAATGTTCCACCACACAGAGATTTTATTTGTGTGACTCTGAGACAATTATTCTAGTTTTTTTCCAAGTGTTTATCCCTACACTTTCGTCTTCATGATGAAAAAAAGTTGCTTATTTTTTTTTAAATGAAAATACTATTTCTTTGAAACTTCATTTAAGAAAAAAAGTTATGCTCTTAAAGTACTTGTATTCCCTGGCAGGATTCTCAATAATACGACAGGAACACAGAAAAGACAGCAAAGAGGATTCTTAGGAAAAGAAGCATAGGTGGGCAGATGCAAAGCTTATGAAACAGTAAGTGAAAACAAAGTCAAAGAAACAGATCAGGAACAAAGCAGCGATCTTGGAGATCTTAGAGGTGTGATCATGAGATCTGTTTGGGGAGGGTGGTTACGAAAGTGGTACAAAGATTTCCATGGGGGAAGAAGATATACAGAAAATAAATAGTACAGAATGACCCACACAAGGCAAACTGGACACAATACAAAAAGAAGAAAATCTAGCTAAAGGGAATAAGAATCAACATAAATTAAAGATTTATTGATTCACCGGCCTCCTAACTGGACTACCTGTTGCTAGGCTTTCCCGCATCACATCAGTTCTCACATTATTCTCTCCACTGAAGTCACAGTAATCTTTCTCTAAAAAGCAATATGTTTATCTAATTATGTTGCTTATCTGCTTAAAACCTACGACATTCTATTGTTCTCAGTATAAAATGTAAACATCTTAAGCCAGTTGACAATGCCCCTGCTTGTATCTCCAGACTCTTGTCTCAGAAACTGCACTCGTCCTTCCCAACACACCATTTTCCAGCCATACTAAACGGTCAGTACCAAACCTCTCTTCCCACTCCCAACCTTTTTGAACACCTTTTCCTTTGCCTAGAGCACTCTTACTGGTTTTAATTTCCTTGGATAACAACTACTCGTTCTTCAGGTCTCAGTTTAGATAGCCCCAGGGAAACTTTTTTAACTCCCTAAAACTGGATTGCGTCCCCGATACTGATCTGAATCATAGCACCTATTATACTCTATTTGTTACTCTCTTTAGAAAAACAGTCTACTTGAAGTGGGAGGAAATCTGTCTTGTTGTATTCCATGTGCCAGGCAGGGAACATAAGGGCAACAGCTAATTAATACCTGTTGAATTGTATGGTGTTTTTATTTCATGGTGCTCACTGGAAAAAAAGGGAAGAGAACAAGCAATTACTCATATGGTTCTTTAAAAAGAGGTCACCTAAAATATAGAAATAACTCAGACAACGAAATTTTTGAGGGACGGGAAAGGCTGATAAGTTGAATTATCCAGATTATATTTTCAAATTTGCATGTAGGCTTTACACAAAAATTTTAGTCTATTTATTACACCATAATGCAAAGAGATAGGGTACTTATATTTTACTCGCGGAATTAACTGAATAACACTTATTAAATGTAAAGCAACGGAAATTTGTACAACTCTAGAAAACCACCAATTCCATGTGGGAAAGGTCTAGTCTATGGTGCATAAATTCCGCTCCTAAGTATATATTCAAACACACACACACACATGCATACACATATGCGTATGTTTACTAAAATACACATAGAAGGATGGTCATAGAAGGCAGACACAACAGCTCTGGTTTCTAATATTTGGCTCAACATTTAGACTTGTGTTTCGACAAATTAATATTTTTGTTCCTTCTCCCCCTACTCGATTTTTTTTGTTTTCCTTTCTGGTTTTTTTGCTGATGATCTATTCGGAAGACTTGCCTCAGATTCGGCAACCGTGAAATCAAAGAAGGTTTCCGGTACAAAAAATGGGATGAGAGGAGGGCTGGAACGAACACACACAGCCCGCAGAGCGGAGGCTGAGGCTCACGTTAGGAAAAGGGAAGGCAGCCTCCCGGGCTGAGAAGCTCCAGCTGAGGGAGGGGACGAGCCCCTCCATTAGGGGTTTCAGTCTGAAGGGGCTTCCTCACTCTTGGTTCTGGGCTCATCTCACCTAGTTCCGGAGTCCTGAGCTGTCCGCACACTCGGAACTGTCAGCGAGTTGGCCACAGAGAACATCCGCTGACGGGCCGACTTGTTTTACAGCCAGCAGATTCGCCATTGCAGATTCGTCCACACGTTTTTCTGTTTTCTGGCACCCTGCAGAAAACTCCTCGGTCCTAGTGCCCCCTTTTTCCAGCCTGCTTCAGTTTAATCATTTGAACAGTGCAAGAAAGTGTATTTCTACTGTTCTTGAGTATTTCGGAGACAGCGCGAAAGCCGGTGCTGTGACGAAAGCGCAGCAGCAAGCACAAACTCGGCTCCGGCGGACCGGATGAAGAAGAGCGAGGACTCGGGCAGGGCGCACGCGCCGCCGCAGGGATGGCTGGTACTGATTGGAAGCCTGGCGGCGGAGGGCGGGGAGCGCCGGGGTCTGGTTTTGGGCGGGAATTGAAACTGCCACTGCTGCCTACGAGAGCTTGAGAGCTGCAAATTTTCAGCCTTGAAAGGGGACCATGGTGCGGCCTGTGAGGTGGGTAGTTCATGACGCCCAGCAGGGGCGGGAAGAAAAGCACATGAAGATACTGTGGGCAACGTCTACACAGGATCAAGGAGACGGGGCCGAGTAAGACAGGAGGGCAGCGATGCGGAGCGAAGGATGGTTGGTTATCGGGAAACTCTCCGGTCTCCAGTGAGGGCCTCCCATTGCTCAGAAGTATCCTAGCATCCTAGCCTTTTCCTTCTCTTTGCCTCCTTTGCAGCTATTGCCTTTTCTTTTACCCATCCTGTCAAATAAGACCTTGTTACGTTAGCGTTTGAACAGCGCTTTACATTTCACCAAGCGCCTACTTATTGTTCATCACTGTAGTTCTTTGACATAGAAAGAGCAGTTATAACTGTTTAATCGATTTAAAACTCCTTGGCTTAAAGGCCAAGGTACTTGAGTTGCACAGCTAGTCTACTCAAACCCAAATCATCTGACTCCAGATCCTCCATTATACTATTTGAAACTATTCTTTTACATTATCACAATTGAATGCCGTGGAAGCCTAGGGTCAGCCATTCATTTAGTGAAGTTACTGAATATATTTACTTCTATACTGTACTAGGTACTGGAGGTTACATTCCAGTGGGAGGTGAGGTTAGGGGGCCAAAAAATATTCAAATGTGGTAGAGTGGGAAGGAGAAAAACCCTATTTTAAATAGGGTAGTTAGAATGTGCCTCTCAGAGGAGGTAATATGTACAGTGACATATGAATGACAAGAAGGAGCTAGCTAGACAAAAATGTGGGGAAATCCAGTAGAAGGAATGAGTACCAAGGCCCTACACTTGACCATGTTTGAGGGACGGACTAATGCTGTAGCAAGCAGTGTAGAATGGAGTTTGGATTTTATTCTAAGAGCAATGGAAAGTCAGTGGAGGGTTTTAAGTAGAGCAGAAAAATCTAATTTTGCTTTTATAAAGGTCACTGGCTGCTGTTGGAGAATCAGTGGGGGATGGGGTGATCAGTTTAGGAGCAGAGAAATGAGTTTGGAGGCTATTATACCATTCGATAGTGGTTTGGAGTAAGGGGTTATCAGTGGACATGGGCTGGGACAGATGAATTTGGCATATATTTTAGAGGTACTGCTGACAGAACTTGCTGATGAAGTGGTTGTAGAGGTAAGAGGGAAAAATCAAGGATGATTCCATAATATTTTTGTTCTGAACTACTGAATGGATAATTTGTGTATTAACTGAGATGGAGACAGCTAGGAAAAGGAACAGGTTCAGGAGGTGTGGGGGATCAAGATCTGTTTCAAACATGTTAAATTTGAAATGGATTTGAAACATCCAAATAGCGAAGTCATAATCCCTTTGTCTTGAACTGCAGTATTGTTAAAGTATGGTCTCCAGACCTCTGGGGGTCTCCGAAGGCTTCTCGGGAAGTCTGTGAGGTCACAACTCTTTTCATAATAATACTAAGACATGATTTGCTTTTTTTGTTTTTAAATTTTTTGGAGAGATGAGGTCTCACTATGTTGCCCAGGCTGGTCTTGAAATGCTGGGCTCAAGCGATCCTTCTGCCTTAGCCTCCCAAAGTGCTGGGTTTATATACACGTGAGCCACTTCACCCAGCCTGAGACATGATTTGCTTTTTTCACTACTCTGTCAATTGCACTGCAATACTGATAAAACTGCTGGCACCTCAGCACAAATGAAGGCATTGGCACCAAACTGTACTAGTAGTCATTACATTCTTTACTACTACACTCTGAGAGAAAAAAAGAAAATCCCAGGTTCACTTAAGAATATGCTTGATAAAGCAGTAGGAATTATTACATCCATTATGGCTCAATGCTTGAATGTATTTCTTTCCTTTTTAGTAGGCTTTTGATTTTAAAGGAGTATCCATATTTAATTCAGCTCTCAAATTCTTTAACTCTGAAGAATGGAAGAGTAACATGAGTACGTTTCTTTTTAACATTCTATGTGAGGAAATGGGAAGTACACATAAAGCACTTCTACATACTGAAGTATGATGGTTATCTCAAGGAAAAGCACTTGTGAGATTGAGTTGTGAGCTGAACTAACCTCTTTTTCACAGAACACCATTTTTATTTAAAAGAACAACTGACTGAGAAACTAGGTTATTCACACTTGAGCATTTGGCAGAAGATAGAAACGAAAACTAGAAGACCATTTTATTTAGTATCTAGAAAAGGGAGGAAGAAAATAACTATTTTTTTTTCACTGTGAAAAACTAGTACAGATTGAACATTGCAAATTTGAAAATCCGAAATCTGAAATGCTCCAAAATCTGAAACTTTTTGAGTGCTGACATGATGCACAAAGGAAATGCTTATTGGGTCATTTCAGATTTTTAGATTTGGGATACTCGATTGGTAAATATATATGCGAATATTCTAAAATCTGAACAATTCCAAAATTCAAAATACTTCTGGTCCCAAACATTTCAGATAAGAGATATTCAACCTGTATAAAGCTCTGTTTCCAATGGCAGGAACAAAGTCAATCACCATTTGTAAGTGTCCATTTCATAAAAACATTATTTGGCATTGTGGAGAGAGAAAAAAAAAGAAAATGGCTTTTTGTGTCAAGAAGTTTATGACCTAATAAGGCAAATAGAATGCACGTATAAAACAAAAGAATACAAACAACAGAAACTTATAAATGCCCAGTAGCAATGAACAGTATATAAATTATAAGTTAATTAAATGGATTATTTTTACTTTGTGAATTATTTGAATTCATTTTTTTCCATATCAGGTCTATCAGATATAGTTATAACTATTTCAGCTAATGCTAAATCCTTGCTGTAAAATGCAAATCATGTTTTAGATTTCACTGTTTTTGAGAGAATTCAAACACATTTTCATTTTTTCAAGACTATGAATACCCTTAAGGAATGGAGGTGAGAAATTGACATTTGTGTTAATGAAAAATTTCTGTCTTGGTAATAGACAAAAGAAACCAGTCAATTACTCACAGTTTGAAGACTCTGACAGCGATGGTAAGTAGAGCTTTTTATTTTTGCTTTAAAGATTTGGAGATTTATTTCCTCAGAATTTATACAACATATATAACTCAGATATTGAACATATTCCCCAAGTGTATATGAGATAGGTCTAGAAAAGTAATTTTCTAAGTATTGGGGATAATTACGCTAATTACACTGACAAGATTATGTTGGTAAGTGACAAATGAACTAGGCCAGGAGAAAATGGCTCTGTGGGTCTTCAGGTCTTTTTGTCAAATCAGTATCTGAATCCTTTCCCTTCCCTGAAGAAGGAACACATTGTCTTTTTGAGATACAAATGTATTACAGAATATTATGTAAAATCCCCCATTAATTATAATATGAAACAAGACCTTGAAGAAAGGTTAAGCTTAAGCTATGCCATATCAGTTATATATTTACTCGTCTCTGCTCTTAACAGAACTGTGATTGAAAAGTTTGAGAAACATTGCATAGATTACATTATACTGTGAAGTGGGTTTTATACTTCTTTGTCAGACCACTAGAGTTTTCTGTAGTCAAATATTTAGTAATGCCTAGGTTTGAATGAGTCTGTTTTTGGCTTGGCCACAGCCTTAAGTATATCTACAGCTTGGGAGAAAATAGTATGGAATATAACTTCTGGCTTTTTATTGCTGTCATTGGTCTGTCATCAGATATTTACAAATTGCCAGTTGTGTTCTGAACTGTGGGCAGCGAGGGCATTGCAGAAAGTCATGTTATCATATTCCTACATGGGGAAGCATAAGAGACAGTATGTGTTGATAAATGCTAAAGCATGTGATTAAGACTACATGGACCTTGAAGGTATGTATATATGTGTCACTTTATGTTTTGAAAGTCATAGCAACAGTTTTATGTCGAGTGTCAAGAAAAGAACTACAACAGTTCTGAGAAGTGGTAGCACAGAAAAACCTATGAGAAACAGTAATGGTCTGGAAAAGAACAGCCCTTTGCCAGAAATTTAAGAAGTTACTTTGGTAGGATCATAGGAAGGTCTTTATGGTAATGGATTTTTCTAATGGTTTTATAAGTTTTTAATTAATCATTTTTCTTTGACATTTATATACTATCTTCACTGCCTGTGTAACAAAGTTTTCTAGTGAATTGGTTTTTGATAGATTGATATTTTTAAAAATAAAGGCCACCAAAACAAAGAGGAGTTAAAGTAGATGAGCGAGAATAAAGACAAAATACCAATAACGATTTTTAAGTTATGGAAATTAAACAATTTGCTTAACCTATAAAATTCAAACACACACTAATGAATTTCAAGAAATGAATATAATGAATACTGAGAAAATTTTTTTCTTTTATTTTTAATTCATACATGAATAGATGATTTTGTTTCT